GACAATGTGTTAATCATTGAGATAACAATGGGGTTTAAATTCTTGATATCCAGCAAATATTTTGAATACGAGGCATGTTAGGATCGCTTTTATATGGTTCTAAAGATGGGAGTTGAAGACGTAGTGCTAAAGCACAACTCCTAGTTGGTAATATCCTAATTCAAAGTCCATGTAGAAATACTTGGCGATTGTGAAGAGAACAATGGTAAAGTTCAGTAAGGTGGAGATACAACACATACCTATATAGCAGAACTTGATGGAGAGCCTCATATCCATACTTACTAGCTCCAAGGCAAGAGATTGCAAAAAATGGTGATACACAAAATCTTGACCTCCCCCAATATCACTAGTGTGATAGTCGAACATGAGAATGAAGAAATATAACCAGTTACTTGGATGACCCCAATAGTTAAGTACATCCTCACCGGGGAACTACCAAAAGAAAATAAGAAAGCTTTCAAGAACACTAAAGAAGGCTAGTTATTACTCCTTGTTGGAAGATCGTTTGCATTTTTGAGGTTTCACAAACCCTTTGTTAAAGTGTGTGACCTGAAAAGAAGGGAAACACATCCTATAGAAGATCGACGAAAATATGATCGATGAACTTAGCAAAGAAAGCCTTTAGGACAAGATACTACTCATCGGCGATGAAACGGATGTGAGAGTTAGAAATCAAAGAATCCACAAGATTGCGAATACACTAAAGCATAAATATTGTGTCACCTCACTACTACAAAAAATACAATTTACGTTGGATACGAAATACATCTAATCTCGACGAAATAACAAAAGACCAAAAAAAAGTATCGTTCCTCATTAAATCTATAATTGCAATTATAATCCTCCATGTAATTGATTTTATCTCACATCAACATCGATCATCATTCCCTGACAATATGTTCATGTGCAAAATATGGATTGTGGATGTCCATCAAATTTTAAACTTTTCAAGTAGATTTTTTTTAGGCATCCCAAATAGAATTATTAATCCAAATAAGTTTGACTAAACTCACTTGCACTCACACTTATTTAAAAGTAACAAAAAGATATGGTTGCATAAACTTGGAGTCGTTAATGCTTTCTGTGTCAACTTTCAACTCCACTTACAAAAATATTATTTTCCACTTATGTGAAACATATAAATATTATTTAATTACTATGTTAAAATATTCATATGTGCTATTTAAAAAATAAAATAAAATTCAAACAATTTTAAAAATTATATGTTTTTATCGTCCGATTATATTAATTAATTATTTTTTATATATGAAAAATAAAATTACATGAGGCATTTATAAAACTATATATATCCAAGAATGGATTTTTTTAAAATCATACAAAATATTATTCATATAAATATATTAAAAATATTTGTTATATTTTTAAGACCATTTTTAAAATGAGATTAATTATTATGTATTACTATTGTAAAAAATTATACACAGTCATTTCATCACTATTGTCTATTTGTATTATTTTATATATGATTAAAATAAAAATCAAATTTATTTTAACTTTTAACGTTTATAACTAACTGAAAATACAAAATTCTTTTATATTGTTAGTGTAATTCAATTAAACTTTTTTAAAATTTAAATTAAAAATAAAATAAATAGTAAAAAGATATATATTCATGAGAATACACAAACTAATAATGAATTTTTATTTCAGAAAATAAATCTATTTTGTTGTTAAAAAATCCATGATATGAAATATATATAGACTTTTATACATAAAAGAAATTATTGTTTTTCTTAAGAAGAAAAAACAAAAAAAAAACGTTATAATCATAACCTAATAAAAGTCGCAAGAAAATTCGAAATCAATTACCCGTTTTATTTGACTTAACCTTTTTCTTCGTTAATAATGCTAGTCTCTTATTTCATGCCAATAAAATAGAATAAAAGTTTTTTCTAAATTTAATATTAAATATTATATTTTTCAAAAGCTAGAGTAACAGTTACATATCATTCAAAATATCCTCCTAACTTATAATTAAAGTCAATTAATTCATTCAATTGAAAGCAGCTTCTTTCACATCTTCATCTTCTCATATTCTCAAATTCTCAAAATCTTCATTAGAGAAAGAAAAATGGGAATAAGAGATTTTCGTATCAAAATCAAGGTTAGTCAAATTTTCTTCTTATTTCATATTGTTACATTACATCAAAGGTTTAACATAAATATATAAATTAAGATTATACAGAAATAACAAACTGCATCGTTATTTCTTTTTAATTTTTATTTGAAATTTCACAGGCTTTAAAAGTGAAACTCTCGTGTTTAGGAAAAAGAAGCACGAGAAGAAAGCATGAAGTTGCGGGCAAATCTTCATGGATGATGCCGATATCGCATGGTCATCATGTGGTGGAGCATGATTTGTTTGAAGGTGATGATTCTGATGATTATGAATTTGATTCAGTTGTAATACAAAGAGAGCCAATTGGTGATAAAGAAGTGTGGTATTTTGGAATTTTTGATCCTTTGATTGGAGATTGTGTTACCAAGTATTTACAATCTAATTATTTTGGCAAGAAGCTCAATGAGGTAATCAATTGATTTTTCTGTTGTGTTTGTTATTTTTTCTGAAATAAATCAATTATGCTTTTCATTGTTGATTATTTTCTATGGTTTAGCTTTTTCCATAAGTGTTTGTGAGTTGTGACATACATACACTGATACACACAAACTATAATATTTTGTTTTTCATTTGCAGGTTAGTCCTCATACTTTTTAAAATTTTAAAATTGGTCCCTAATAGACGGAAAAAAAATTAAATTTTACAAAATATGACCCAGAAAATTTCATAAAGAATAATTTTAACATTCTATGAAAATAAATGACTTTCAATTGAATAATTTAAATCGATTAGAAATTTAAATTTTTTTAAAATTTAAATATAATTTTTATTGACACTTGTAAATGAAAAATAAAATATTGTATGACTTTCAAGGTAGAGTGTTTGTTATAGATTTTAAAAAAAAAAGTGCTTTTTGTTTATATTTTTAAAAATCTTTTATATGACTTTTTCAAAAAAATATTTGAATTTACTTTAAATTCAGTTTTTTATAAAATTAAAAATTGATTTAAATATTTGGTAATTTAAATATCCATCATTAAATATTTTAAATAATAAAATCATATGATTTTAAAAAAAATCATCTAGAAAAAATTATTTAGGACAGCTATAAATTTTCCTTTTATATTTAAAAAAGTAATAGTAAAATTATTAAATTATTTTTATTAGACACTATTTAATTTAATTTTTTATTTAGAATTTTTTTTAAAAGAAATCTTCTATAAAAAATCATTATAACAACTGTAAATTTATTTCCTTTTATATTTTAAAAAAGTCATAGTAAACTAATTAAATTATTTTTATGAGACACTATTTAATTTAATTTAATTTTTCATTTAGAACTTTAAAAAAAATCTTTTTATTAAACATATATAATATTATAAAAAATTTATTTAAAAAAAAAACAAAACAAACAAGCTTTTTATGTCTTCCTAAAATAGGAAATTGTGATACATGTGTCAATTTTATTTTAGAGCTACTAAAATGTGAGTAGTAGCTCTATATACACATACACATATTTCTGGTCTTATGTGTTTCTGATGTTTCAATTATGTCAGACTCATATGGCAAGAAAAGCCAAAGAAACGCTCAAGAAAGCATACATAGGTGCCAAAACAAAGATCAGAGAAACACACAAGTCAGATGAAACTTGCTTAATAGGTTCAACATCAGTGATAATAATAAATGGAGAAAAACTTGTACTAGCCAACATAGGAGACTACAGAACTGTTTTGTGTAAAGATGGTGTAGCTTATCAGACACATGGAAGATACAATCAACCAGCCAAGAAACATTGGTATCACAGACTCTTTTCAGGTATCAAATCAAACCAAATACTCTAATCTTTTGATATTCATGTACACAAACTAAAGTAATAGCATGTGAATAATCAGGTGGTGATGCAACAACAGCTACAAAGTATTCTAAAGCTTCAGAACTAGTGGTCGGAGGTTACTACCGGATCGACTCATATACTGAATTTGTGATTTTAGCAAGCAATGGAATATGGGAGGTAAGTCTGATGATATGTTATCATTACTAACGGATCGACTCGTGTACTTGTGTACTGAATTTGATGCTTATAATAAATAGATAGATACTTCACAAGTGTTATATGTATTTGCAGGTGATGAAGAACCAAGAGGCGGTGAATCTTATCAGACACATAGAGGATCCACAAGAAGCAGCTGAATGCCTAGCTAAGGAAGCATTGGTTAGGAGGAGCAAAGGCAACATTTCATGTTTAATCATTCGATTTGATTGATTCGTCATACTTAGCTGAATAGTAGAATGCCAGAACAGTTAGCAAAAAAATTTGTATACCAAAGTTTTTTATAGAAATCTTACTGATACAACCTTGAAAGTTTTGTTTCTTAGTCTAGTAGATTCATGGGAGTATATTTGTGGCATATTAATTTTTTTAGGAATTTTTATATGTAATCTGATTGTCTTTCTGTGAAGTGTGAAGCATGCTTGCAACTTACACTGGGAGGAACACATTGACCTCCATGCCGTCATACAAGAGCTCGACCTAAACTATCAACTGCGTTGGTCCAATTCTTGTATGTATTTCACTCTGAGTTACCTCATTGGGGTCACTAGTTCACTGGTGCAACCGAACCAATCGGTTACACCGGTGGAACTTTTGTTTTGAATCATTGAAGAATGACTTTCCTGAATAAAATGCAACAATGATCACTGATAAAGAAAGCACCATAAGTGTGTCTAGCTTTGCTCTTGGTAATTTCCAAGAATGTTTTTAAAAATGGCAAAGAAAAGGACTTCGACAAAAATATATTTACTTTGATATTTTCAGCTACACTAATAATTTAGGACTATTGAAGCCCAGGAAAAGAGGAAAAAATGAAAAGAATCAAGTAAATGATCATGACATCAACCTCGGGTAACATGATCACTTCTATCAAGCCATCATTATCTTTTTCTCTCTGATGTTGCTTCGAAACGATGATAACAAGGAGAAAGAGCGAGTAGCTGTAGAAGAACAAAATGTTTATCATGTTCATATTCAAATGTAAAATATAAAGCAATAATTGATTCAAGTTTCTCTCGAATGAACTGTGCAAGTGCTTACACTTTTGAGGAGCTGCGTTGGTCGAATGAGTTTCATCTCGAGAGAGCAAATTCTTCAAAGTGAAAACTAAGATATTGCAAAATTCAGATATTTTATTTACTAATAAATATAAAAGTAACATGCTGTTGTTATTAGAAAGAATCACACTACCTTCACCGGAGGAGCCGTTTGCTCCAATTTCATTTGCTTCAGAACCATCAATGATGGCATGATTTGATTCCATGTTGCGCCCATTAGATGCATTGTGATTCTTTCTTCCAAACTTTAACAGCCGTCTTAACCCTTTCGGCGACTCCTTCACCTGAGGATTCTCATTTACCTCAGGAATCTTTGCAAGTGTAGAGTTTCTAGTCTCGGACGCATGTGCTCTAAAAGTCTCCACACCAATCGATGCAGTCTCCAAGCTTGCGGGAGGTGCTTTACCATGCTCAGAGTTTCGTGTAAAACGACTTTCCAACAAAGAACCTCGAGAGTATGAGGCACGATATGTTTCCTCAGCAACACGAGTGCTTGTACTAGATGATTTTGAAGATTCTTTCACTGTATTATTCATTTTAACCTGAAGTAGGAAGACAATTTATTCAAAATTAGCTGAAGTACTAAGAGTTTTTAGGAAGACACAACATTCGTAATCACACTCACAATCATGTTTACGGAAGAAAAAAATAGGAAAAAAAATACAGTACAAGGTTATAAAGATGCACCTTCAAGGATACGGGTTTTACTTGTGATTGGTTCTCCAAAGCTTCTATGTCTACCACATTTGCTCTTAAGGATGAAGTCGGTGCACAAACAGCATCATAACTTGATACGGTCTCAGTTTTCTCCATTACTATACCATTGTCAAACTGTCTCTTTGCTATTGCTAATTTTTCTCTTGATTTCTTGTCATTAATATCAGGGGCACAAGGTTTTTCACACTCAAGCATCACAATATTCTTATCAATAATAGGATTGTCATCTCCATCATCCATGGATGAAAGTTCCATTCCACTTTTCTTCTGCAAGGCACCTTCTGAATTTATAGAAGGCTTGTCACTGTGACTTTCTTTGGATATTCTGATTTTCAGTTCTGGAAGGGTTGCAATCTTTCCTTTATCGTAGTTCACAATAGCCGAAATTTTTCTTCTCTCGGTCTCATCAGTTGCTCTAGTCCTTGAAGTTGTCCTCGAGCTCTGTGATTTGAATAAGGAAGTCGGACGAACAGTACTCATTTTAGGTTCTGAGAGTCTTCTAATGCGTGTTATTGATGCCTTATCGGTTGCACCATCACCCTTCTCTTGCTTAGGTTCAGGCAGAGGAGGCACTGACCGCCTTAATTTGCTTGTAACTGAGTGGCTACCAGTATTCAGTCCTCCGGTTTTCGAGGCTTTTGAAGAATCATTAGATCCACCAGAAGCAGCTCTGATAGGAAATCTTTGGAAGGGTAAGGATGTCCTTGGCTCTGAATCACTAAACTTTGATCCTTTATGCACGCTTGGCAAAAATTTCGTCGAAAACTGTTTCTTTGTTTGCTGTGGTGGCATCGGTGACTTGGTGGGTAGTCTGGTGACTGAGCTACTCCTAGCAGCAATTCTCTTTTGCCTCTCCTTCTTTAAAGCCTCTATACGTTTTATATCTTCCTCTTCCTGGTTAACAGAAAAGAAATAAGTAGATCTGTTAATCTAAATGCGAGCATACTTGAAACAAAGTTAACTTAATTTCAATTTACTTCAACTTGAGCGAGTACCTTCTCTTTCTTCATTTTCTGGAGATCGGCTTTGTAGTTTCGTAGTCTTTCAGCACGTGCGCGTGCTTCATCTAATGGACTTGGTTTATTAGTTTTTCCTCTTCTTATTGGCCCAACGGTCTTTTTTCTATCAGAACTACTTGGAATAGGTTTCGACTTCTGCTCCTTATCCAACATCTTAGATCCTGGTTTGGTGTGCTGAGCCAATTCCCCCTTGTTCTTCTTTTCTTGTGAAGAACCACTTACAGATTTGGCCTGCATTTCGTAGTCTAGTGCACAGTCATAACGTACTGACCCTTTATCAGTTCCTCGTTCAGGCATTAAGCTCAATTCATCTGGTTGATAATTGGAAATTTTCGGTTTTTCTTCCTTTTTATGCACCTTCGGGAACTCTGTGTCCATGTCAATAGCATTTCTCTCAATATTCCGTTCATTGACCCTGTGTTCAACCATGAAGGAGTCATCATTCGCATTACGAAACAGCTTTCTTTCCAAATTAGTGTTTGAAGAATCTGGTCCATTGACAGCAGCCACGTCTGATGAAGGATGTAAATTACCAGTAAATTCTAAAGGATCATCGGTTGCAACATGTTTTATATTTCTCACATGATCGACTTTTTCCACTTCAAACTGGTCTCGGTTAATGGCATGTCTACCTTCATCTACACCGCTCAATAAATAATTTTGAAATACATTCCAATGTCCTCCATCTGCTTCCTTTCCATAGTCTGTTTCTTCTTTATTTCTTGAATTCAACCTCTTCAAAGATGCCTTACCGGATCCTCTTCTTTTTGAGGTCTTCCCAGATTCTTTAATATCTTCATCAGTTTCGGTTGCAGAATCAGAATATGATCCACTGCCAGAAGAACGTTCTGTCTTTGTTATGCAATTGATATTGTGTATGACCATCGTGCCAGATTTACGCCTGTCTGATCGACTAGCCTTTTTTCTTCGGTCTCCAGTATGCAAACCTTCTCTCTCAATTTCCACTTCATCCTGAAACCTTGTATTCGAATTATCTCTGTCCCAATTTTCGGATTCAGTATTGTTGTGTCTATTATCCATGGAATGTCTCCTATGTTGCATACTTTGACCAGCATGTAGTCCGGGATCCTCAGTAGGCGGATAACCGGTTTGCATAAGCGGTCCGTTTCCTGGATAAGTCGGATAGTAGGATACGCCATCGACCGGATACGGATGAAACACTGGCAAAGCCTCCGGGGGAGAATGAACTGGCCAAGGGGAGAATCCATGATGAGTGAATTGACTTTGAATATTATGGGTACCTGAATTTGCTTTTTCACCATTACTTTCTGAGCCTATATCGGTGTGGGATGCATCGACCGTATTGTCAGAAAGTACAATGCCAGATGTATTTATTGCAGAGAAGTCTGCACGATTAGGAGTCACTTCAGAAACTTCAATTTCAAGCAATAGGCCATTTTCATGCTTTCTCCTCCATAGAAATGTGAATTTTCTACATGCATCCCTGAAATGCGACAAAATTAGAATCAGCGAGATTGTTCAGAAATCTTACATTGCTTACTAACCAACAATTAAGAAAAAGATGGTTAAGAAAGAAGACTATTCTTACATCAACCGTGATGCTTCAAAGCGTTCAGCAAATGACATCAAATCTGGTATGTAAACAATGTCAAAACCAGCAGCAACAGCACGTGCAAATGCCATTCCTTGCTCTTTATGTAGCAACGAGCTGCGTGTCTCCAGGACTCTCAAAATCTGAACTCTAAAACAGTACGTGAAGAAGTGAATTCGACACAGATGTTAACAACCTGTTTTGCATTGTGTACCGGTATAGGGCCTAAAACAATTATACCCGTACACAATGGTAATAGAAAAGAAGGATTCAGAGATTTAAAATTTACTTTGATTTTCCTTGAGACCGGGTGCTTCCGTTTGCTTTAGGTGGCTGTACAACACACGGAGGCATATCCATACAAACAGATTAGAAAATGATAGATCATTATAAGTTTAAGCATTCAAGAACTCCAACCTTATAAGGAACAACTGCTTTCACCGCATTACCATTCTGATTAATCTTCCTTCCTAAAAAAAGTAACAAGTTCTCTTAGAGCCTATTTGGATTGACTCATTTGACCTTACCTACCGGCTTAAGTACTTGTGAGATTATTTGGGAGAACTTGTGGAAACAGCTTACGACATATTCATATGTTGTTTTTATCTTATTTCCATAAGTTCTCTATAACAGCTTATGCAAACAGCTTATAGCTTATATGAAAACAGTTCGACTTTGTTTTAGCTTTTATCATAGAAATAACTTATATGTAAGCACTTAAGCAATAAGCCGCTAATTAAGTAGTTTATCCGATCGGATTATAAATATCAGCAAAGCTTTAAATAAACCTATGTATTTGTTTAATACAAGTTGGTTAGTAGTTGTGCATAATAATAACTTGCAAAAAACGCACTTGTCCTTTCAAAAGTCCCTTCGGTACTTTCTTGATTTATTTGGTTTTCTTCCACCTGCAAACACCCAACATAATTAAAAATTACTGTATAAAACAGACAATTTAAAAATTCTGTTACATATTTACTTACAATGCTACCAATGAAGTTATTTCCTTGAATTGCAATTGCCTCTTCAATTTGTAAGATTTCGGATTCTATAGTATATACGCGTTCCAGTATCTCAGGTGTGCTCACAAAACGAACAAACCTACAGAAGTCGAGAAAATTAGTTCAGCATGTCAATCGTATGAAATTGAGTGCCGCTTAGAAACATTTGCAAGAGAACACACTTTAAGCTAACAATCTTAGAGTTACACTTACGCTAGCACTGCGGTGCTGCAATAGCTGCTATTTGACAAAAACAATTCCAAGATAATCCAACAGGAGTCATCAACAAAAGAAAAAATTATATGATAACAAGCCATACCTTTCAATAGTTCCTCTGGTAAACCATGTGGCATCGCTTCCATGTTCCGGCACAAGAACAATTGAATAACCACCCTTCGCCATTTGATCCCGAGCAACCTTCAAGTGGCAATGAAAGGGGTTGAACAAACCTGAGGCTATTTTCTCCTTCTTTCCATTCACAGTAATTACCAAATCAAACCTAATTTACACAAGAGCACAAAAATCACTTTATCAATTAACTCACAACCAGAGATCAATCAGTAACATAAAATTCATATCAAATTGTATAAACAAGTTAGTCACTCCCCCAAAATAGGTATCAACTATACCAAATGCTAAAAAATAAATCTCATTCTAGCAACAAAAGAATTGCCTCATTAAGTCATTTTATACTAATAATATCTATGAAATATTAATCAATGTTTTTCTTATTCAAACTATTAAAGTAGATCAAAATTTATATAAAATGAATAAAAGTAAGTACATTTTGAATAAGCTGAAATCCATTGCTGAATGTTACCTGGTTCTAGTTGGTGTGAGCTGAAACACAATCGAATCCAACCTTGCTGAAGAGTCCATTCCCAAGAGAGATACTAAAGAAGCATCAGTGTTTTTTCTCAAGGATCAGAAAAAACATAAACCATAAAATAGGTTGAGAGAAAGGGTTTTGGGGAAGTTAGTAAGAAGAAGGTGAATAGTTGGAAAAGACAGAGTGGAAAATGGGGTGTTAAACAGGATCAAAAAGCTGTTCAGAAATAACTCAACAGGGGCCATCAATCTTGTGTTTTAATGAGAGGGACCGTTAGTATTTTGCTTCTTCTGTCAAACAAATGCATAGTACGTTTTTTTGTTCGACAAACGTAAGTTTGAATCGATAAAAACTATGTACAGTATGCTTAGATACTCTTTGTATGTCTTTGCTAAATATTTTCTTTTTAGATTTATTAAATAATATTGTAATACTTAATAGATTTAATAATTTTGAAAATATAGAGGGAAAACATGAAGAAGAAAAATAGAATACAAAGAAAAATAGCGATTAAAATATGTGGAGGAAAATAAAAATTTCTTTCAATCGATCTTTATGAATTAATATGATTAATAATGTGGTGATTAATTATCGATGTAGAATTTAAATAACAACATCTTTGCTCAATCCATATAAATATAGTGTCTTTAATTTCACTCCTAGTTGATTTGTGTGTGTGAGAGAGAGAGGGGAAGACTAAGATTTCATAAACTGAATTTAGTCCATAATTAAATATATCAGGATAAAGATTCTATTTATAGAACGACTTATGTCTGATGTAAGCTGAACAAGTTCACTTAAGCACATCATACATGACGATGTATTATATTTTACTTAATTGCATTATATTTTATAGTGTTATGTATTTCACTTAGGTAAAACATACCTTATAATATTTTGTGTTCTACTTAAGTATATTGTAACTTACGAGATGTTCTTTATTTCACTTAGGTACATTGTACCTTTACGGTGTTCTGTATTGCGCTTATGTACGCTGTATTTTATGATGTACCACTTTTCTCTAATTAATGCTAGTGCGTTGCAAGATCACACAATCAAATAGTTTCATTTATTTTATCTTTCATCAATTTGTTCTTATGTTGAATCATGTAGTTTTTCATGAAAATGACAATTATACTAAATTACACATTTAATATAATAAACAGTGTCTGATATCTAACCGCACATCATTGTTACCTAAGTCATAAAAATGTCATGTGATCTTACAAAACCTTGTTATGATAATGTTTATTTCTATTATTACCATTTTGTCTTCATGTCTATATCGAACACAAGGTGTAGATCGTGTCACCCTTGTCAGGTTCATTATTAGGCCACTCATTTATCATGTTATATAGGATGAACGAATTTCATCTAACTCACATGTATCGTTCAACGTGATTTGTAGACTACTCATTAACCATATTTATATTCATGTTGTTACGGATAATATTTGAACGAAAATAAAGTATTAGACTCCACATCTAGGATTCATAGTAGTTTTAGGTCAAAGGGTGGTTGATAAGGGTAAATGTATCATGTTGTTGGCTTGTTTTTCCTTCTATTTCATGTGTGTTTTCATTATCTTAGTTCATTTTACGCGTTTTTGTCTCATTTGTTTGTTTTCATATACTAAGAGATCAATGGAGCGAATTGGGACGAAAAAGGTCGAAGATCGCATAAAAAAGAGTGTTTCCTATACAAACTTCTCGAGAACAATATGACATGGTCGTGTCCCATGTCACGGGACATGTTGGCCCCTTTGAAGCACACCCATACAAGTAACCAGAGGCTGACACAACTAGCCCATGTTCCCTGACACGACCTGTATCAGTCCTAGGGCAGTTACAAACTTTTGATCTTTTGACAGCTTGTGTGACCTTTTGGCATCTGTAACTTCCATTTCTTTTATGATTAGTGATAAGTGACAATTAAGCTCGAAATCGATGCTAATTATGAACAACTTAAGGCTTAGATTAATATAAATAAAGGTCTAAGGATCCATCATTTTCATCACTTTTTACTACTATATTTTCATACACTTGTTGATTGCTTTAAGTTCTTAGTTTAAGTTTTTGATTTCTCTCTTGTAGTTATGCATAATTAGTATTTTAATCTTGTTATGTTTTTCATTTAAACGTTGTTTCTCTTGTTTCTCTTATTTACTTGTAAGAGTTAAATATATAACATCTCATGTAATGTAAGTGAGATTCGCTTTAACTCTCTATAAAAATTTTATTTAAATTTTAAAAATCATTTTGATTTTTTTTATTTGTTATTTTTTACTTTTTTAAAATTAACTTTTTATTTTCAATTATTTTAATATAGCAGGAAAGAATTAAGAAAAAAATCAAATAAAAATATTTTGCAATAGACAAGAATCAAACCATGTCTCTTAAGGTTGCAGGGCGAGTGTATTACTACCAGGTTGTTGCCCTTTTTCTTATTATGTTTCACATTGGAAAGATATATGATGCTGAACTCCATACCATAGAACAAGATCAAATTCCAACACCTAAAATGATGCCATGATGTGAAGTAATTATATTACAGAATATAAATTTTTAACTACATGTAAAAGTGAACTCAAAATACCTGATAGTAAAAGCCTATACCACTATAAAATACATTGCTCATGAGGCATATAGGAACCAACATTTTGGGAAAATCTTTCTCTAAAAATAGAAATTGTGAGTACAACTTCACTATTAGATGTTTTGCATAATATAAAAATTAAGAATCATTAAGAATTATTAAAAACCTTTTTGAAATTGATCAAGATTTGAAAAATAAGTTTCTGTATACATTTTTATTGCATGTGTCGACACATACGTATTTCAGGTCGACACATGCAACTGAGTTTTGAAGCATGTAGTCTCTGGAGGGTTTAGGTCGACACATGCATACATATAGGTTGATACATACTGAAGCTTTTAAGAAATTGCAGAAATTCCTATTTTATGTGTCGACACATACGAATTTTAGGTCGACACTGTACTACTTTTTCAAAGTTTAATGTTTAAAGCTACTATCATGCTTCGGTCGACACATCCATTTTTCAAATTGACACATACAATTGAAACATGACTTATGTGTCGACACATACGAATTTTAGGTTGACACGTATTATTTGATTGGGTCAATTTTTCTATTCTTTTTAATTCCAAAAATCTCCTTTTTGCATCTAAACTTCCACAACTATAAATACATCATTCATGCATCATTCATACTTGATGATACCATAAAATTTTCTACAATTGCTCTTCACCTTCAACCTTCAACCTATGCATACACACTAAAAAATCACACACAATAATCTTTTGTTGGAGTGTCATCTATACGAGGTTTGATAACGTCCGATTAGGTTCTTGTTTAGTCAAGAATATTGGGTTGAGATTTGCAGGGGTCTTCATCCGGAAAAATCGCGGGTTCGTCCTCCAAGATCATTGATTGATTTGGGGTTTTCATGAAAGACTTTCAAGAGAGGATTGCAGCCTAGTGAAAGCCTTTGGAGATAAAGAATGCATAGGATCCTTTGGAGATAAAGAATTTAAAGGAAGTAGCGCGACAACGGCAACTCGTAGGAATTTTTCCGAGATTGTTTTTGTTTTGAATTAGGTGTTGATATTGCTTATAATCACTTTTGATTATAAGTGCTTTTTATATCAATACAACTCAAAGAAAAATTCTGAAAATTCGATTGCACACCAAGTGTTCGATAAATTATTTTGTTTGTTTTTTTGATAATTGCCATTGGAAATAGTATTGCTAGTAACTTGATATAAATGATTAGTATCTTGTTACTTGATTGAAATATATAAATTCCAGATTATTGTATTCATTCCATAGTCTTTTTTATATTTTCATACCCGACTTCCAATGACGTGGTTCATATAGAAGACACTTTTTGAAAACCTTCTTGTAGCGGTAAAAATGTTCAAGACTAAGCCATTGGATTGACTAGACTTTATACAAATCAAAATAAAAATCGCCACCATGCTTTATTATTTCCAAAGGAATGAGAAAAGAGCGAATAACCCAAAAAATGGGGAAAGATTCAAGGTAAGAGGGTTGGTTACGCAAAGGGAAGGTATTAGCACCTTAAACATCTACGGTACTCCGCAGGAACCTCTTTGTAAAATCTGTATATTTTGACTATAAAAATGTGTTATATATAAAATGGATGGTGGAGATGAGAAAAGAAATATATTTTTTATGATTTTTGCACCCACCGCGGTTGCGAATCTTTAGTGCCTACGTACCACCTTTCGTGCAATAGGGGATCAAGGTACACGTAGTTCCTCTTTTAAAAGTTTGAAACACAAGTGTGTTGGTTAATTTTATGAGATAAGATATCATCGTCATTGTCCGTGTGGAAAACATATTTACTACCCACAATCATAAGAAAGGAGAATTTGCATCATCTCAAAGTGGAGGATATGGCTTGGATTTTAAAATCAACAATGCCTCACTCAACACCCAAGTGGAAAATATCTCACTTCACTACATATTATAGAAGTATAGTTGTTTGCATCACTACAAGGATTGACAAGAGTCTAACTGTTGTACCCCAAAATTTGCCCTCCCATATTTCTCAAAATATTTCAAGAAAAATTCACAAGATCAACCCGGCGCGTCATATTCAGGTATTCTTTCGCCAAGATATCTCTGATAACGTATTCTCAAATTCAGGTTCGGCTCAAGAGTCAATTCTTTAAAGAAGGTATCCGAATGTGTGAGTTTTCTTGAAGAAATATAGTGAAAAAGTGTGCTGAAAGTGCAGTTTTTACGCGCTAAAAAATTCATAACTTGAAGATCGTGACTTGTTTTGAACCTGTTCCGGTGGCCAAAATTCCGTCTTGACATTATCTACGTTTTCATCTCTCACGGCTGGAAGCCAATTTCGATCAGAAGGTCTTCAAAAATGTGGATTTATCAAGTATTTTCGTGCAGAAAATTTGTGACAGAAGTTTATTTGCGTCATGTTCAGAAAATCATAACTTGGTCGATTTTCATCGTATCGAGATGGTTCCGGTGCCAAAATTTCACA